CTGCAGGGTGTGTGTGTGTGGGGGGGGGGGCCCGGAAGGGAGGGCCCAGGTGAGGGGCCTGGGGGCGCAGGGGCAGCAGCACCCCGGATTGGGAGGGCGCTGAGAAGCCCGACGCGGTGGTTGGTCAATCGAAGACCTTCAGAACGCGCCGCGGCCCTCGCAGCGGCCACGCTGTGGCGGCGAGCAAGCAGGCTGCTATATGGAGATGCCTTTGCGCCACTACGGCGGCAGGATGGACAACCCTCTGATACTAGTAGTTCAACAACGAGCTCCCGCACCGCAGCCAGCAGCGGCAGCGGCGGCGCACCTGCGATGCTGTCGACCCCGTTGGCGAGCAGCAGCAGCCGGTACGTGCGCTGCACCTCCTCGGGCCGCGCCCCCAAGCCGCGGCCGCCGAGCACGGCCTCGAGGGCGCCCCCCTCCCCCAGCGCCTGTTCCACTTCCGGCCGCCCCGACGCCGCCGCCCCCGGCACCTCCCCCGCTGCTGAGTCCGTCGAGGGGAACGCACCGCCCCCGCCGCTGTCCCCCTGCTTGCTGCCGCCGCCGCTGCCGTCGGCGCCGGCGCCGGCGAGCTGGTCGGCGGCCGCGGCGTTGTCAGTCAGACCCAGGCCCAGCGCGGCGGCGGCGGCGGCCGCCGCAGCGTCGAGGTCGTCGGCGCCGTCGTCCCCCTCCTCCTGCTGCTGCCGCTGCAGCAACTGCGCGTGCTGCTGCAGGCCGCGCTGCAGCGCTGAGCCGCTCCTGCTGCGGGGCACGCGGCGGCGTGTGGAGCAGGTGCGCGGCCGCGGGAGGCGCCGCAGCAGGTTGCAAAACGTGTTGTGAAAAACTGTGTCATCATGATTGAACATCAAGTTCACCCCAGTTGAGCGATTGACTGGACCAGCCCTGGGGCACCAGCCCTGGTGCCATGGGCGCCCTGATGTTGTGGTTCTTCAGGGCGGCTTCTTTTCCTCGCAACCCATGCGTGCAACACCAGCAAGCAACGCTGCGAGCCCCGCGCTGGGTGGGTGCCGCCCGCGCTGCCGCCGCCTCACCTTAGACGCCCGCTCCCCCTGGAGCCAATCAGGCTCCCCCGCTGGCCCCCCGCCCCAGCGCCGCCGGCCACCAACTCTGAAAACGATGCCGCCGCGCTGCTGCCGCCGCCGCCGCCGCCGCCGCCGCCCATGCTGCCCCGGGCGCGCGTCAGGCTCGCGCGCCGCGCGGCCGCGCCGAGCGCGGCGATGCGCGCCGCCGCGAGGAAGCGCGCCTGCCTGACCGCGCTCTCGGACGCCCCAGAAATTGAGGGAATGGAGCCATGCCTGCTGGCGCCGCCCGTGCCGGCCGCCGCGAGCGTCGGCGCCGTCCCCGCGCACGCCAGCTGCTGCGCATCGGCCGGCAGCTGCTGCGCAACCAGCGCCGCCGCCGCCGCCGCCGCGGCGTCCTGCTGCTGCTGCTGCCGCTGCTGCTGCAGCGGCGGCGGGAGCTGCAGCGGCGCCGACGCCGCCGGCGCCAGCGCGGCCGCGGCGCCGGCGTCGCTCGTCGGGGTCAGCGACGCGCCCGCGTCGGAAGCCAGCGACGCGCTCGCCACGCTGAACGCCGGCAGGGCGCTCGACGCGGACGCAAACGCTGACACCCGGAGGGCCTCCAAATTCCTGCTTATCGCGTCCGCCGCCGCCGCCGCGCGCCTCGCGCTGTCTACTGACACGCACGCGTCAACGGCCGCCCCCGCCTCTGCCAGCGCCCCCTCGACGCTCGGCGCCGGCGTCCCTGGACTGCACTCCGGCGCCGCTGCCGCGGCGGGCTCGCAGTCCAGGTCGAGGCCGGCCGCCTCGGCCGCCTTCTCGGCGGCTTCCGTGACCGCCGCCAGGTCGGCGAGCAGCTTCCCCTGCAGGGCGCCCGCCGCGAGGACGGCCAGCTGCGCGGCGCGCGGGGGCAGCGGGATGCAAAGGGGCGGTTCCTGGACCTCGGCTGCTTGTGGGATGATGCGCCAGGGTCCGCGATTCCAGCGGTTTGGGTGGCTCGATGCACTGCACCCTCTTCGCTGACCCCCACGCTGGCGTCGGCAGGCCGGGGCGGTCGCAGTGGTGATGATTACGACATTGCGCCGCGGCAGAGCCTGGGATTCGAGAGCCCCGCGGGATGCGCCGCACCTTTGGGGGCCCAAACATGCGCACGGCGCCCCCGGCCATGTCCTCATTATTGAATATGAAGGTGTACGGCACATCTGGATGCAGCAGCCTTAGGGGGCGAAGAGTGGACGCGGCATGTGTGTGTGTGTGTGTGTTGGTTTTGTGGTGGAGGGGTACACATGCTGGGAAGGCAGGAACGCCAGCACGCGGGCAGACGTACGGAAGGCGCACGGACTGGCGTGCGAAAGGCGCGTCGTGGCATGCAAGCGTCTCCCAACACTTCAATGCGGCAGCTGCGGCGCCCGCGGGCGGGGATTCGGCGCAGCGGCGGCGGCAGCGGCGGCGGCGGCGGAGGCGCGCACTCGTTGAGCCTCTCGCCGTGCCGCAGCACTCCAACGTGGAACGCCATCAGCCCGCGGCGGTTGCGCACGTGGCGGATGTCGGCTGCGGCGCAGCAGGGCGGCGCAGAGGGCAGGGGTCGGCAGGATGGGTGGGGCCGAGCGTGTGGCGGCTTGGGGCCGGCCGGACGGCGTCGGCACACGAGGGGCCAGGACAACAGGATGATGTCACCACGTGTGCCGTCGTGGGTTGAATCCCAACGGCGAAAGGCAGCGTTTCCCAGGGGAGCCGACCGCGAAAGAAACAGCGACGGGACTCCTCGCCCAGCGCGGGCCCCGTGCATCGCGGCGCCGCGGAGGGGCGGCGCGGCGCGGCGACGGCTCGGGCGCGTCTGCTGCCGCCGCTGCGCTGAGGGCGCCGCTGCTCAGGCGGCGGCCGGCCCCAGAGCTGGCGGCACCACAATAGACAAACAGGGACACAGGAGGCAACAGTGACACTGATGAGCTGGCTCATTCCAAAGATGTTGAACCCCGGCCGGGGCCAACGTTTGAGCATCCTGCCGCCCCCAGCCAAGGTCAGCAATAGGAAAAGCAGCGCCCCTCACCATTGTACCGCTGGCCCCACTGATGGTTGCCCGCCTGCATGACTTCCTGCCCCGCGCTCATCATCTGTTGTTGGGAGGTTTTCGGGTGGCGCCAGTGGGTGCAAGCAGTCAGCCAACGCCCTCGATGCCGCGGGGCATGGGCGACCCACGTCCGCGGAACCAGCGAGCAGGCGCCATAGTCTAGATCGCCCCGCATCTTGTCGCGGGATCAATGGGATCTCGTACCGGGGATCTTCATATCTCCCACCTGCATGTGGATCGCCAGGAGCGCCTTGACCATCTCGAGTGACCCCACGTAGGCGGCCAGGTGCCTGGTGAAGTGGGGCGGGAAAACCACCATCATCAACACGACCAAACCACCACCACCACCAACTGCAGCGTGCAGGGGCATCACTCAGGGGCCCATCCCAGATAAAAGGCGGGCGAAGTTGATCGGACGCATCTGCCCCCGTACGGCCCCAAAGGTGGCGCTGCGCCTTATCTGCCGGCGACAGCACCCTTCCCGGCAAGGGCGGCCGGGGTCGAGCGCACAGGGACGCAAGCCGCAGCGCCGGGCGGCGGCAGCACCTCTGGAACTCACAGGGGGGTGTTGCCGATGCCGACGCTGATGAGCGGCTCGACGTCTGTGTTGACTATGGTGAGGGTCGGTTCGTACGACGCCAACGCCTGCCAATCGGGGGAATTGCTTGATTTACGCTGGTGCCAAATAAAAAGTGGAGGTCGACGAGGCCGCCTCAGCAAGGCGCCGCGCGTGAGACTGCTGACGCAGCTGGCCCGGCGCGGCCATCCGGCCGACTCGCTCACTTGCAACAGCGATTTCGCGCGTGCGCGTGCGCGTGCACACACACACACACACACACACACACACACACACACGCACGCACACACACACACACACACACACACTCATACACATCGACAACATCCATCCTCTCACCAAACACAAACATGTGCACACACACACACGCATGCGCGCGCGCGCCCACCTTGACGGCGTCCATCTTTTCCGCAAACACCGCGTAGTGCAGGGCAGTGTACCCAAACACAGACCTCATGTCCACCAGCCGGGTGTCCCGCGTGTTGGGCTCGCAGTACACCCAGCCGTCCCGCGGGCCCGTGTAACCAGACAGCAGCTCGTTGATGCAGTCCGCGGCGCTGACTAATGCGGCATAGTGCTGAGAAGGGGAGGCGCCGCGCAGGGCGTCGAGCGTCGCGTTCCCAGTGAGAAAACCAGCTTCGCTGTCTGCACACGCGCATGCATGCGGATTACGAGCACCGGACAGGCGCTGGCCGCAGCAGAAGCTGGCTCCAGCTCATTTACCGCAACAGCGGCCGCCGACAGGCCCACGCTGTTGGACGCAACGCACCGGCGACCTTTCTCCCCGCGGCCCCTTGGCGCCAAAGCGCGGCGGCAGCGCCCGCGCGGCCGTGCGCGCCCCGCGAGCACTCACCAGGGCGCCACGGCCGAGGCAGTCCAGCTGGAAGGGGTTCGCCCCCAGCACCATGAGGATCCTCACGCACGCCTCGGATTTGTACACGCAGGCCAGCATCAGAGGGGTTAGGCCGCTGCGCGGTTGCGAGGGGTGATAGCAATGGAGGCGCGGGGCCGACGTCGATGGGGAGGGGTCTGGGGGTTGATCGCTGGCACCGCGCGCTTGTGCACTGGGGCCCCTTGGCTGCTACTGCTGCTGCTGCTGGTGCTGATGCCGCTCTGCTGCTACTGCCCCTGCTGCTGGTGCCGCTGCTGGTGCTGGGTGCAATGCACGAGGTGCTGCTGAGTGGCGGCAACAAGAGGTGCAAACACCTGCTTGTAGCTGGCGCAGACATTGCTGAGTGAAGCACAGCTGACACACATAACGCACGTCGAGGGGCAAGCCACATCAGCGCGTGGACCCGGCCGCATGCCCGATCGCGCTCACCAATCATCCTGTTGATTGATGGCTTTTCGCAGCAGCTCCGTGCGTCCCGCGTCCCCACCCGCCTCTGCCTCGGCGGGGCGGCCGCTGCCTACGCGTGAAGCTTCGTCGCCGCTGCTCCTGCCGCCGCCGCCGACCGTGCTGGCGGTCCGGCCCTGCTGCTGCTCCTGCTGCTGCTGCTGCTGCTGCTGCTGTGAGGAACCAGGGCAGAGCAGCGCGTCTGCCATAGCCTGTATGACATCAGCATGACCGTGCTCCGCGGCCCTGTGCCATGCGTTGTGGCGGGCTGCGGGACGGGTCGGGGCGAACATGTGCAACGGCAATCTGAGCAGAAACACTTGCGGGCTGGATTAGTGCCCTACCATACCATCCCACCGTCGCTGTGGGGTCAGCGAGGCCTGGTGAGGTTCGTGTGGGGATGGGAATGCTGCATACCGCAGGGCCAGCGGCTGCCCCGCCCTCCTGTGTCGCAGCCACACGCTCCCGCCTGGCCCTCCCGGCGCCGCAGCCACCGCAGCTGCCGCCCTCGACCACCCGCCGGCGGTGTGCCGCCCTCCCGGGCGCGGCTGCCGCCTTCAGGACAGCCTGACCAACGCAAGCACTCACTCCAGTCGCGCGCAAGCGCCAGCTTCGGGTTGGCCCTGAGGGGGACGGCCATCATAGGGCGGCGGAGGCGTTGGGTGCATTGTTGTGCAATGGCCGCTTGTCAGAAGAGCACGAAGGCGCCGGGCGCATCGAGCGCGGCACGCGTTTTGCGAGCCGCGGGTGGATTCCAAGAGACCTTTGCTACACACAAACCAACTGTATATGCAAGTGCGCGGGCGGCACCTGATGCACGCCGCTGCGGTTGGCGCGTCGCCCGTCAGCGCGGCTTTGAGGAGCGCCTTGCTACTCGGAACGGCCTCTCCACATCTGCACCAGCTCCAGAGTAGGTCCATCGCCCCCACAATCCCGCCGAAACGGCCAAGCGACCGCGGTGGTCCGGAGATCACACCCGCGCCGTTTCTAGACCGTCTGGTGGGTGCGAAAATACAGCTTCTGCCGTGCCACATTGCCCTGCGCGCCGCTCTAATATCTGGCGAGACCTGCGGTCACCGAGTCACCAGCAACAACAGGATTCATGACAGAAGGCTTCACTAATGTGTCGGATGACATGACTATCAGGCAGCCAAAAGCGACTTCGACACGTGTGTATGGGCCTGCATGACGTTCGTTGCGAAAAGTGACAACAGCGCCCAAACTTCCCACGCAATTGCCGGGTGCGGCATCATACCGCCGCTTTTGCAGCTTTGGGCTGCACATCTTAGGGCACGCTCCTGGATTGGTGCTCCCTCACAAACCCCCGCCTCCCGAACCATCCACCCGCCAAGCCCTCCCGCATCCTGGCCATCCTTGGGGACGGCTGTTCCACGCTTGCAGCGGCAGCCCAGGGTCCACTTGCGTGAGACCGTTTACATGAGGAAACTGCCGAATTCCAGCAGCCCCCAACTGGTATCAGGGGTGGCAAGAGGCTGGTCTCCTCCAGCCGACCCCACCAAGGCGGCCGCCGAGAGAACAAAGACTACCGCCGGCCCCGATCACTTCTTCTTGGCCGCAGCCCGGGCCGCCTTGGCCTTAGCGGCCTCCTTCTTGGGGTCAAGGCCGGCAGCCACCAGCTCCTTCACGCGCTTCTCATGCGCGCGGCGGGTCCACTTGATCTTGGCGGCCGCGGCCTCCGCGCTGCCGCCGGCGGCACCGATCTTCTCCGAGGCGGACGCGCTGAAGGCGTCCGCCTTGATCGTGAGCGCCTTGCTCAGGCTGCCGCTGCCGAGGACCTGTGCAGAGGAGTGGGCGGCGGCAACGGGGGCGGGGCGGCGGCGTCGGGGGCGGGCGGCATCGCGCGGGGCGATGCCGCAGTGCTGCGCCGCGGCTGAGTGCACGCCGTGCGCCGCAGCCTGCTGCGCCGTTGCTGGTTGCTCTTGACCACGCAAAGCAGCAGCGAGACATCCCCCACACAAACCTGGCGGACAAATACACACATATGTGCGCGTGCAAGCTCCCTCCCTGTCCCTCCCCTTCCCCCCTCACCTTCAGGCCGAGCTTGGTGTCGCGGCCGCTGATGTTGAGGAGACCCTTGGACTGGATGGCGTCCAAGGTAACCTCGGACCCCGCCTCGAAGGCCTTGTCCAGATCATCCAGGTTCACGACCACGTACTTGGGAAGGCCGGCAGACATGCCTTGGGAGGTTGAATCGCGCGGCTGAGAGTCAGGCTCAAGGCGGCTGGTAACACATACACACAGGAGAGAAGCGACAGATGTGCGGCGAGGGTCGCACACCGGCCACGCATCCGTCCGTCCTGCCCGCTGCGCCCATTGCTGCGCGATATGGGCGAATCGAACGGCAGCGGCCTGTGTTTGGCTGGCGCAAGCGTCAGTGATGGGGCCGCTGCTGTCCGCAAGCGTCAGCAATGGGGCCGCTGCTGTCCGCCATGCCCCCAAATACAACATCCCGGCCGCCGCGTGCGCGGCCCCCGGCTCACCGCCAGCAATACCCCGGAGCTTGGGCAGGCGGCGGTACAGGGGCATCTGCCCGCCCTCAAAGCCGGGGCGCGTGCCGGAGCCCGAGCGCGCCTTCTGGCCGCGCGTGCCGAAACCGCAGGTACCACCCTGTGCGCAAATGGCAGGGGACGGTAAGGGTGCATGGCGGGCAAGGGAGGGGTTGGGGTTTGAAGTTTGGTAAGCCATAGATAAGCGGGCCGCTTGCTGCTGCTTTCAACACTGGCTGATGTGATTCTGGCTCCAACATGAACAGGACTGCGTTGCTCTCTGTATGGCCATGGCTGCAGATGCGCCGCTGTCGCTTGTTGCCACCAGAACCGGCCAAGCGGCTGGAAGGGGTCAAATGAAGCACTCAAACAAACGCTGCCAGCGCCGCAGCCGAGTCCGCTCCCACTGTTGTGCACCGATACCGCTGTGATCACAACAAAATGCGCCGATATTCATGCTGTGAGGAGTGTCTGCCAATCTGCTGTGCAACAGGCTGGACACCCTAGTCCACGATGCTGCTGGCTGCACAGCTGAGGAGACGGCCTGTGCTGCGCTTCGCACAGGCACTGCGTATGAGCCCATACGCCATCATACGCAGCACCGCGCACCTGGTGACCACCGTAACCGCGACCCTTGCGCTTCTCGTCGCGGCGCGAGCCTTTCTGAGGGCTCAGGTTGTGCAGGCGGAGCCGCTCGGCGGGCTCGGCGGCGGCGCGCACGACCACCACGCCGCGCGCCGCCGAGAACGGCTGTACGCGGCGGGCTGCGACCGGCTGGCCCACGAAAGCCCTCTGAGACGCCTGATGATGCGCCACGGCATGCGTGCGAGGGCATGGGCGTGCTCAGGCGATGCCAAACAGGGAGCTCGCCACCACCACGCAGGAGCGACCTGTCCCGCACGCGCATTGACACGGCAATCGAATACTGACCAATTCAGTACCAAGAATCACACCTGCATTGCTTCTGTGGGCGCTCCTGCTCAAGGCTGGGACTGCACCACCGCCACCTCACTACAAATGCTAGCGAGTCCTCTCACGTGCAGCCTCAAACACGGCTGATTTTAGACAACACACGACGGTATGCACCTCTGGAGTGTGGTGGGGTGTCGCATACCAAGTTGTGCCGGTTCATTGGCCGTCGACGTCCTGAAGTGTGCAGGGGGCCTGCACCTGACCCTCTTTCCCGTGTGTCTTAGACAGCCTAGTGGGACATCATGGTGAGCGTCTTGAGACCGCCAAGGCTTTCCGCGAGGAGGGCGGCCTAGTGCAGGGACCTTGGCTGCTGGCGCCCTGGCAGACGTGATGAGTGGCAAAACGTTTCTGATTGTGCAGTCAAGGGGACGTTTGCTCTCTGGAGAGTGATGGAGCTTCGACGGACCGCGGCATGCAGCGTTCGCTCGTCTGGACAGCAGACGGCCTGCACGCGTGGCAGGAGATGCAGATATACATGCAACAGTACCGGGAGTGTTGCAGAGGCACCGGCGCGACATGCAGCGGCCAGAACACCCACGGCCGGCGCCGCTGCTGCTTGCCCTGTTGCCGCGCCGCCTCTTCTCCGCATCCCTTGGCAACCGGCGCCCCGCCCTTGCACAAACACCTGCCGCTTAGGCGAAGGCCACGGTCATCGCCAAGGGCATCACCGCCCACGGGCGGTCGAAGACCTACAAGCGGCGCGGGCTGTGGGCCATCAAGAAGAAGCACGGCGGCAAGTTCCCCACCACCCCCAAGCAGCAGAAGGCGGACGCGCCCGCCGCCAAGGCGCCCCGCTTCTACCCCGCCGACGATGTGGCCAAGCCGCTCTCCGTCCGCGCGGTGCGCAAGCCCACCAAGCTGCGCGCCAGCATCACGCCCGGCACGGTGCTGATCCTGCTGGCGGGCCGCTTCAAGGGGAAGCGCGTGGTCTTCCTGAAGCAGCTGGAGAGCGGGCTGCTGCTGGTGACCGGGCCCTTCAAGGTCAATGGCGTGCCCGCGCGCCGCGTGAACCAGGCCTACGTCATCGCCACCAGCACCAAGGTGCGCCGCCGCGTCTCCTGCGGGGCGTCGGCAGCCACGTGTGCGGGCAAACATGGGCGGCGAGCGTTAGCTGGGCTTGCAAACGACTGGGCGTGCCCGTCGTAGCGTGCACCGCTCGCAGCGCAGCATGGGCCGCGCTGTTCGCGGTGCTGGCGCCGGCGGCGATGTCGGCGGCAGACGCGTCGCGCGGCGGCGTGGTGGTGGCGGGCGCGGCAGCAGGATGACGGGGCGAGCGTCAGGACTGGCGAGTGCGGGGCAGCGGTCTGGTGTGAGGGGCCTCGGACTGGTTTGACTGGCCAGGCACCCAAGGATGGCGTGGATAATGCAGCATCAAGTCAAGCATGGCCATGGCGGCAGCCTGACGAGCCGGCAGCGGCTGCCGCGGCGCCCCGATGGCGAAAGCGTGGCTGTGGCTATGGCAGCGGCGCAAGGCGCAGGGCGCTGCAGCATTGTTTGCGAACGGTTGGCGTGGGCCATGCCGCAGCGGCGCACGCTCAGCCAGCGCTGCGCTGCTAGCGGAGCAGCAGCTGCGGGCGGCCACGCCGCCCCGCAGCGGTGGCGCGGCAGGGCAGTGATCAGACCTTGCGATCCGCAGCAGTAGACCCGCAGTCGGCGGCGCTGGCGGCAGCAGGCGCAGCGCCGCCCGCAGCTCCCGCGCGGCACCCCGCCGGCCCGCCACCACCCCAGCACAACTCCCCCCCGGCCTCGCGCCCTGCCGCCATCCTTGGCCTGGCGCACCACCACTCACCCGCCTGGTGTCGTGCCCCCCCCCCCTTGCGCGCGTGCAATCCGCATCCCCAGGTGGAGCTGCCGCAGCTGGACCTGGCCAAGTTCACCGACGGCTACTTCAAGGCGGCGGAGGACAAGAAGGCCAAGAAGAAGGGCGAGGACGACTTCTTCAAGGTGTGTGTGTGTAGGGGGGGGGTGCATGTTGTATGGGTGTGGGTGAGAGAAAGTGAGAGAGAGCGTGTGAGTGCGTGTGAGTGATTTCGTGTGTGTGTGTGTGTGAGGGAGCGAGACAGAGACACTCTGTGTGTGTGTGTGTGTACGTGTGGAGTGAAGTGGGGCCAGGGTTTGCGTTTCAACACATGAACTTTGGAATAGGTGTGGCATGGCACTTATTCACATGCGCGCGCCGCTGCTTCGGTCTAGGGGAGGCTGAGATTGTGGGGGCGTCGTGGCAGGGCGGGCCGCCGGGGTCCAGTTGCCGCCGGTGGTCGGGGTCCAGTCTGGCGGTTGCGGACGAGTGCAGAGCGGCTGTAGTTGTGCCTAGGCTAGCCAAAGGACGACAGAGGGCACTCCACCCTGCGGCCCCCGCAAACCTCAAGCCCCGGCGACATCCCGCTCGCGCCGCCCCCTCACTGTGCGCCCCTCCCCCCGCCGCCCCTCTCTCCAACCGCCAGGGCGACGCCGAGAAGAAGCCCCTGGCGGCCGAGTACGTGGCCAACCAGAAGGCGCTCGACGCCGCGCTGCTGCCCGCGCTGAGCGCTGACCTCAAGGGCTACCTCGGCTCCCGCTTCACGCTGCGCGACGGCGACCGGCCCCACCTCCTCAAGTTCTAGGGCAGCCCGCGGCTCGCCCACGCGCCCCGCGGGGCCGCCCGGGAGGGCGGGGCCTGGGGTGTGCGTGCCTGCAGTGTAACGGAGGCCTCTGCTGTGCTGCACGGCGGATTATGGTGGATCATGGTGGTGGATTATGGGGTTGCTGGGAGTGGTGGGGGCTGCAGAGAATGTGGATGCCTGGGAGCGGTGCTCAGTAGCGCAGCAGCAGCAGGCGCAGCGCAGCACCCGGTGTTGGGGTGCTGGCACGGGGGACTCCCGAGTTGTGCTGTGCACATGTGGTGCAATCATGCACATCCGCACCATCCTTGTGCTCCAATATGCAGGCAAGCTGCAGGGCGTGCCCAAAGCTTGCCAGGCTCTGATGGCAGAACCACGTTTTGAATAAGCCCGCGAATCAAGCCCATGAAAAGGCTGCCTGGGCGGAGCTTGGGCTGAGCATCGTCGCAAGCGGCGCGGGAGCGAGCTGCTCGGAAAGCTCAAGCGTGCAGGCAGCCCAGCCCGAGCGAGACAGTCAGGGCACGACCATTCCTGAGGACCCGCAGATACTTTGGTGTGGGTTGCAACCACGGCAGGGCACCCTGCTGCCTCTGGTTGCAAACAAGGGAATGCACACTAGAAGGCAGGCGCAAGAGCAGCCATCAGGAGCAGCCATGACAATCGCCCCGAGCTTGGCCCGTTGACCTGACGGCACATATCCCGTCACCGTAGCTGGCAAGACTCGGGGCCTGACGCATCGCAGATCCTAGCAGGACCTGTGTCTGCGCGGCACTGCAGCAACTCCCTGCTGTGCTGTCACAAATCAGTGCCTCAAACATCATCAGGGCAGGTGCTGTCCCCGCTGCTGACCTCATGTGATCAGTCTCAGGGCTTCGGTGTATTGATGCAGGATTGAATTATTTACAAGCCGTCACATGCGGCGGAAAAGCGCTGATCTTGCAATCCCGGGACCCCATGCGCACTCCGTCCGCTCAATGTGCAGGCGCCGAGGGGGGACCATGCCCCCACCCCTGCGCCCCTAGGTCGCGCACAGTATACAAAGCCGGCGCAAGCTGGCGTCTTGGGAGAGGGGGAGATGGCAGGCGGTACCCGTGCCTGCTCCGGTTCCCAAGTAGCTTGCGTAAAAATCACGCTTGCGTCCGTCAAATTGATGTTAGTAATTAGTAAACAGAGTCGATTGCAGGTGACGCCTCGTAGCAAGCTTGAAGCCAACTGGATTGCTCATGCAACGCCAACCCTTCACATGGTGCGGCGCAGACGTGTGTGCACGTGCCAGGCGTTGGCATAGTCACAGGCCAGCCGCAGGGGCAACATGCAGGCGGGCCATGTTGCCAGCCCGCTTGCAGTGCGCAACAGAGCCCGCGCAAAGGGGCCCGGCCTTCCCATGCCATCTGCTTGAGCACACCCTCTGTCGCACCAGCGTGGACAGAACGGGCGCAGCATGCGGGCACGAGCGGGGGGCACAAGCGCTGTTGGGAGCGCGGCCGATCACCCACGCAGAGACCCAGCTGCAACCGCGCTACGCCGCCGCTCGCCGCGGCGCCTCGGCCATGTGCAGCGCGCGCCTCCCGCCAAGCTCAGCATGTGCACGCCCGCGGGGTCATGGCCGCGCCCATGAGGCCCAGGATCAGCAGCAGCAGGGTTACGCCTGCTGTGTAGAGGTCGGACCCAAACAGGTCGACCACCGGCTGCGCCTGGCCCGCCTGCTGCTGGCCGCCCTGCTTGCCAGGCGGCGTGCCGCCGCTGCCGCCGGCGCCGCCCTGGTTCGGGGGGAGCGCGTCCATGGTGAATACGACTACCGCGGGTCGCCTGCTGCTGCTGCGGCCGCGGCGCTGCGACGCAGGCCGAGTTGAGGCCGCCGGGATGCACGAGAACCGGGACAACACGCGCCGCGGCCCGAGTGTGGGCTGCAGAGTGGAGAGATGACGCGTGAAGGTGGTATTGGGCGAACCTCAGCAAGTTGGTCGGGCAAACTCAAGGCGGCCAGCCAGCAGACGGAAGGCTTGAATGCAGTAATCTGCCTGTCCCGGCACGTACAGCGCTGTGGCTGACTGGCTCGGGCCTTCGGCAGTCGGACACACTCTGCAGCCCAACGAAGAGTCCCGAGGGCCAGCTGACTGGTTCCAGGGATACAAACCTACCACTACGCGGGTTTGTTGAGGTCGAGGGTTCTTCTGCCCACGCTAGGGTGAGCGACCAATGACAGTGGCTCTGCAAACACAAGGCGGGTATGTGTGCAACGCCCGTGATGCTAAATGATACTGTATACAATAGCACGAAGATACCCTACAGCGTGCATTGGACTTAGTGACGTGTTCTGGGATGGATACGGTGGTGCTGGATGTGACACTGGCATTGGCTGCAGGCCTCAAGAACGCCCAACGGCCCTCAAGGATGGTGGTGTGCCACGTTAGAAAAGTGAAGTTACGCACACGCAGGAGGAGGGTGGTCGAAACACTGCTACGCAGGCGCGCGTTGAAGACATGAGTGTCGCAACCTGCCGCCCGCTCAACGGGTGCCGACCCCCCAGGATGGGTGAGTGACCCCCTTCTGCCGATAAGTGCGTGTGTTTCTAGCCCCAATCCGCTCTGATCTGTGGCTGGACACGTGGCTTGAGCAAGAGTGCGATCGCTCAGACTCTGCCTGTTGGAAAGCGCAGGTGCCATCTGTAGGAACATTATCATAGTGCCCAGCAAGTGTGCAATTCGATACTGTGGTCATAATGATGAGAATCTCGGTCGCTGATGGAAAGAGAGGCAATGCGAAGGGGGCCTGAGAGCGCAGTGAGCGCAAGCGACATGACGCAGAGTGCTGCGAATTGAACCCGCCTCCCACAGGTGTCAGTCGGCGTCGGGCCGGGCCTCGCGGCGGTGCTTAATCCCCCTGCGAGCCCGGGATGCATTCCAGACACAACGTAGTGAATGCACCGTTCTTGGAAAGGGCCAGGGGATGGCCCCGCGGCAGTGCTGGCGGGTGCGTGAATTTGGTCGCAAACGCAGGCCTTGTGATCGTGGACGGCAGCTCCAGAAGCACGCGCGCGGACGCCGCGATCACAGCAGGCAGCAGCCTGGTGAGCTCATGGCAATCGCCCTCACCCGTCCGCACTCGCGTGCCCTGCATGATTTGGGCGTGGCCCTGCTCGAGGATGGCAACACACCAGCGCGACATTGTCGCCTGCACGGCCTCGATAAATATGCCACAGGTGCATCGATTGATCAAGGTCAGACGGCTGAAAACAAAAGGACGAATCTATTTCATGATGCGAAAAACTGTATACAGGATTTTGTGCTTCACCTGCTATTATCAGGGCAAATAACAGCGGCCTTTGGGTGCATTCTGGATGCCTTCACAAGCGATGGTCCTGATGTGCAATACACAGTATTGTTGACCGCAAGCAGAGCAGTGATGAGCTTGAGCAGCTGCAGGTATCTGGACGACACGGTTTGAAATTGTGTTGAAGCTCAAACTTTAACTCCGTCGCAGCATGCATGCAGTGACGCGGGTCGATTATCGTGGGGCATTTAGAGTGGTCACCACCGTAGCAAGCAGCAGTGTGCTCAAAGCGAATGGGCGAGCGAATCTGAAATTGCGGTGGTAATAGCAATGCGCTAGAATCAGTGCCAGGATGGCGGTCCAACATGTACCAAGAGCGCTCTTTGAGGTACCGAAGAGCTCAGCCAGAGCTCACCTGCCAATCCCATGTGATGACACACCTGCTCGTTGGAGACCCAGCTTGAGATACAGTACACGGTAGGCAGCAAGGAGACGTCACAAAGTCAAGTGCCTTGCCTCTCGTCACAGGTGTACAGATTGTACCGCAAAACTGCGATCACGTCGGACGATCTGACGACAACTTGAGCGGGCATAGCAGGTGATGAAATTGGAGTTGGGTTGAATTTTGGGAGGTCTGAATCAACGGGAGTGGAACGCCGCTAACAACGTGCCCGCCATGCTGCCTCCTGCACCCGGCAGGTCGAGGTGTGCAAGCTGCTGTTGGTTGCTACGCGGCCATCGCCCAGAGGAGCAGCAGCAGCTGCAGCAGCGTAAACATAAAATATTGCAGCAATAATATTAGCTGCAGCAACACTGGCAGCAGCAGTGCCGGCGGGAGGGAACTGCGGCTGGCGGTCGATTTGAACAGCGCCGGCCGTGGGGTGCGCTCTTGCAGAGCTGCGGCCTCGCAATGTCGCAACACCGGCAGAGCCCCTTCACGGTGATCCTGGCCGTCGTGGTCGGGCTCGCGGCCGGCTTGTCGCTGAGCTTCTTCGAGGTCCTCGGCTCCGGGACCCCCGCCGCAGCCAACTTCGCCGTCGCCAGCATCGCCGTCAACGCGTCCAAGCCGGCGGCCGCAGCGACAGGCGCGGCGGCGCCCGCGGGCGCGGGCGCGGGCGCCGGAGGCGCGTTGGTGACCGAGTACCCCCATATCAAGGCCGTGACGGCCGCCTTGGACTGCCAAAACACGCTGCTCCCGGCGCGCAACATGTCCGACGCGTTGCTATACATGGAGGGGAGGATCCCCTTGGTGCTGGACCCGGCCAGCAAGGGTATCATGGCTTGGATCACCGGCAACGAAGGCGAGCGCGCCGTCCACGACGTGTTCACGCGCTTGTTCTCGGAGGGCTGCGCGCCGGCCGGCGCCGCCGCGGGCGGCAAGGCGCCCGGGCTGTTCCTCGACGTCGGCGCCAACGCGGGGTTCTACTCCCTCATAGCGGCCGCCTACGGCTGCCAGGTCCTCGCGTTCGACCCTCAAAAGGTGTGCTCCGACCTCGTGCGCCGCAACTTCTGCCTGAACCCCGGCCTCCCCGGCGTCGCCGGCAGGCGCGTGGCCGTCGTCAACGCCCCTGTGTCCGACGTCGCGACCACACTCAACCTGTCGGTCCCCGCGGCGTGCGAGGGCGTGTTCTTCGTCCCGTGGAAGAACGACACGCCGCCGAGGGTGCCCGTCGCGGAGACGTACCAGCGTGCCAGCGTGTCGCTTGACGGCCTGTTGCTCAAAGAGACAAGCGCCGAGGTGTTCGTTCTGAAGATCGACACGGAGGGCTACGAGCTGCCTGTGATGAAGTCCATTTCGGGCCTCTTGGCCACGCGCCGCGTGCGTCACATCTTGGTCGAGGTCACGCCCGTGTTCTGGACGCGCGACGGCGTGCCGCGCGCCGACATCTACGCAGCTTTCCTGCCGCTGCTCGGCTACGGGTGCAGGATACAGCGGGTGCTGGACATCGCGGCCAACTCGACGGCATTGCTGGACACTGCCGAGAAGCTGCGGGAGTACCTGGTCGTCCGAGACTACATTCAAGAGGACGTCCTTGTAACATGCCCGCCGGCCTGAGGGGGTGGGAACGGCGGCGGTAATCTCTGTAGAACGTGCATTGTCCCAGCCAACATGAACTCAAGCTTTTGTTCTTTGTTGCTGCAACTGCGTGTATAACGAATGCTGGTGTTGGGTTTCTGAACGCCTTTCTTGGCTGCATGGCAGCGTATGCCTCTCTTCAAGTTGTGGTGTGTGTGCTGCATATGTTGGCTGGTTTCTCACTTTGTGACCATGCCCTGGTTTTCTTTCCTGAGCCGCTTTTCCCCAAGGTGCAAGCCTGCATTACTCTCTCGACAGCCCACCAGCAGATGAATCCGGAATCCATCCAGCCTAGGAACTCTCACCCATTTAAAACCTCTGCATCCCTCTCCAAGGCTGCCAATGCAACAACGGTTACTTGGTGGTGATTACTGTGACCTGCCGTCAATAAGCGGCCGACGTGTGTACCTGCCGGCCAACGTCACCGCCAGCATGCCTATGTATGTACCCGCACGCAGCTCACCCCAGCCGGGCCAGCAGCCCCTGCCAAGTGGGATCCGACGCCGCCGCCGCGCCCAGCCGCTCCCGCGCGCGCCCCAGCTGCGCCTCCAGCTCAGCCGCCACCGCCTCGACCCGCTCCCAGCCGCCGCCGCCGTCGCCGCCGCCGTCGGCCGCGCCGCCCTGCGGCCATCCGCCGCCCGGCTCGACCGAGCCGCCGCCGTCCGCCTCGCCGGCCGTGAGCGCCCCGGCGGCAAGGGCCTGCAGGCGCCAACAGCAGCTCACTAGGCCATTGACATCTGCCGCGAGCGGCGCCAGCCACGGCGGCTCCGCCTCCGCCGCCGCCGCCGCATCCGAATCCCTCGGCGCCGGCGGCAGCAGGCACGCGCGCAGCGCCCGCGCGAGCATGCCCGCGTGCGCCGCACGCATCCCCGCCACGCTCATCGGCGCCGCCTCCAGCTGCCGCGCGAGCGCCTCGCACGTCCCACAGAGCAGCTGCTCGTGCGCAAACGCCCGCCAGCTCCGCGCGCAGTGCGCGGCGAGGTGCAGCCACCGCCGCAGCCGCTTCACCCGCGCTGCGCCGGCGGCCGCGCCGTCGCCGCCGCCGCCGAGATTGAGCGCCTCGCCCTCGCTGCCGCGCGTGCAGAGGCGCCGCCAGAGCGCGTCCAGGCGCAGCGACGCGCGGCGTGCGCGCAGCAGGGCGCTGAACACGTCCGCGTACTGCCCCAGGTGGCTGGGGGCCACCACCAGGGAGAGCGGCCAGGGCACTTGACAGGTCAGCACGAGCGAGTCCCCGAGTTCCAGCCCGCGCACTGCAGCGGCGTCGGCGTCCGTTTCCAAGCCACCGGCGTCGGCCGAGGATGCGGGCAGCACGCGGCGGTCGGGGTGCACCTGTGCAAACGGTCGTTTTGTGTGGGAGGGGTGTCGAGCGAGCTGGGGAATCAATGAGATGCCGCGCTTCAGCTCCGCATCCCTCAATTGATCTGCAGCCAAGCGCTGGCTGCGAGGCGTGCGGGGCAGGCTGTGTGACCAAGGCGCCCCGGCTTGCCACTTGGTGTGACCGCCCCAGCTCCCGGCGGCAGCGGCGGGCCCGCCCACCTCCAGGCGCATCTGCTGCGCAA